CCTCCAACTCTTGGGCTCAAGCGAGTCTCCTGCCTCAGCCTCCCAAGCAGCTGGGACCACAGGCGCCCACCACAACGCCCAGCTATTTTTTTTGTTGCAGCTGTTATTGTTGTTTTGGCGGGCCCGGGCTGGATTCGAACCTACCACCCTAGATGTATGTGGCTGGCGCCCTAGCCATTTGAGCCACAGGCACCGAGCTGGAACTCTTGCTTATAGAAGACACAGTCCAGAGCCTATGGGAACCCACTAGTGCTCTGAGTGCCCAGCCATGTGGTGAGCCAGGTATAAAGCAGCTCAGGGAAACAGCTTGAGGGTGCCCAGGATGTCTGCTGGGCCTGCCTTCCAGTGGGGCATGCTCTGGCCTCAGCAGGCTTGGGTGGTCTCCATGGTGCTGGTGGGGCCATCATGGCCAGAGGCTGCAGGCTGTGCCTGTCCAGCCTCAAGGGTTTAGAGATCTTTCTGCTGTCTCAGGCAGGGATGGAGGTGGGAGGATGGTGTCAGCCTGGAATCAGGCAGAGGTCCAAGCAACTGGGAGGGTGTGTGGGACCCATGCTTTTCACTCTAGGTACCCCTCTTCCTTCCTTGGGCAAGCAGCTTTGTCCTGGGGCTGCCCTCAGAGCCCGAAGCTTCTGGGAGGCTGAACTGGAGGTGTTGGGCAGCCCTGGAGCTGGTTGCTCAGTTGCTCTGCCCTACACCTGTTGTGGACAGGGTCTGGGTTCTGGGAGCTGGATGGCTCCACTTGAGAGGATCAGAGGCTGAGGAGGGTGGTGGCCAGGAGGGGTGGCTCTGACTGCCCAGGCTACTGGGTGTGGGCCTTGGGATGGCCTCCCTCTGGGTAGATGAACATGGCCTGGGTTGAGGATGGTACCTGCTGGGAAATTCAGGAGTTCGTGGCAAGTGTACCAACCACACGAATGTGCTCACTAATGGGTTGGGAATATGTCCTTGGTAAGGGACTCACAGTGCCATCAGCCACTCACAGTTCATCCTGAACTTACCAGGAGGTTGGGTGGGGTGGCCACCTGTGTTAGTTAATTGGCCTTGTCCAAACGAAAAATAAGTGTTTTATATTTTTACGACAAGAGGGAGGTTTGCAGCTGGTAGGTGCCAGCTGACATTGGGTTCCTACTCTCCCAAGGACTTGGAGAGGGGCAGGACAGCCACCAGGTCCTTGGGAAAGACAGTTCTGGCTATGATACTGGCAGGTGTCTTGTTTAGCTTTTTTTTTTTTTTTTTTATTTGAGACAGAGCCTCAAGCTATCGTCCTGGGTAAAGTGCTGTGGCATCATAGCTCATAGCAACCTCCAACTCCTGGGCTTAAGTGATTCTCTTGCCTCAGCCTCCCAAGTAGCTGGGACTACAGGCATCCACCTCAATGCCTGGCTATTTTTTGGTTGTAGTTGTCATTGTTGTTTGGCAGGCCTGGGCTGGATTCAAGCCCGGCAGCTCAGGTGTATGTAGCTGGTGCCTTAGCTGCTTGAGCTACAGGCGTTGAGCCTTGTTTTAGCTTTTAAAGATTTAGGTGCATCTCAAGAGGTGAGAAAGAATTCACACTCCCAGAGTTTTTTTTTTTTTTCTTTCTTGAGTCTGTCAATGCTTAAAGAAAAGACCTGGAGTTAGAATTCTTTTCTCTTTTTGGATCAGGGAATTGAGATTTATTTAAAAATTGTGGGCTGGGTATAGTTGCTCATGCCTGTAATCCCAGCACTTGGGAGGCTGAGGTGGGTGGATTACTTGAGTTCACAGGTTTGAGACCAGCTTGAGCTAGAGTGAGACCCTGTCTCTAAAATATAGGTGGGCATTGTGGCGGGCACCTGTAGTACCAGCTATTTGGGAGGCTGAGGTAAGTGGATCACCTGAACCCAGAAGTTTCAGGTTGTGAGCTGGGCTGAGGCCATGGCACTCTAGCTAGGGTGACAAAGTGAGACAGAGTGAGACAAGAAAAAAAAATTGTGTTTGTCCTTACACAGTCAAGAGCAAACCTGGCTGGGTCCAGATGGGGGTGTGTGTGGGGTGGTGCTCCAGACTGTGGTTTCTCTTTCTTCCCTCTCCTTTGAATGGGGGTGCAGGGCTAGGTGGGCTGCGCTGGGGTTGGAACAGGGCTAGGTGTGCTGTCCTCAGCCTGGGTCTCAGGGTCCTTCGGAGCCCCACTTGGGGTCTCTTCCATTAGGCTAAGGGCAGTCCTGGGGAGGAAGGGCATGGCCAGAGTGGGAAGCAAGGACACTTGAACCCGCTTCACCAGGGAGAGGCTGTGTCCAGCCGACTGGACGGATGTTGGGCACAGATGGCTGGCAGGCTGGAAGACATGGGGGACAGAGCAGGGCACAGATCTTGCTGCCTGGGCCTGGGCAGCCGCTTTTCAGTGGACAAGGGACTCCCTTGGTCTAAGCACGAGGCAGAGCCATGCCTTCATATTAAAAACAGGTTCACATAACAACACTCAGCCTGGCCACAGGTGACACACTTGGATACTGTCTAGTGTGTTCTCCTCTATGCATATTTATTCTGTTCTATATCTATTTTGTATTTATTCTCTTTTGTTCTACTTTAGTCTATAAAAATGATGGTTGCACCCCCCCACATTGGTGGTGTGACCCACTGAATTGACATCACAGCACATGGAGTGCAGCCCATGGTGCAAAAATATCACACTGAGCATGAGGCAGTGGTGTTTGGGGGCAGCTGGGGGGTCCTAGAGGGGTGGATGGGGACACACAGTGGGCTCTTGAGTCATTTATCTGCATAGCAGGCCACCAAATACACAGCTGCCTAAAGCAGTGCTGCCATTTCCAGCACTCAGTGGTCCGTGGGCAGTCTTTCTGCTGCATGCTGGGCATACCCTGGGGTGGCTCTGTGGCCTGTCCACCTCCCACCCTCCCCACTGTCAAGTCAACTATGTAGCCATGTCTTTGCTGTGGAGAAGTATTGTATTTTTGCTAGATTTACTTTTTTTATTTTTAACACCTTCCTTTCTGTGTCTTGCTTAGACTAGCAAGCTCATGCTTGCCTTTTCCTCTACTACTTGGTGGCTTTATTTTTTATACTAAACTTAAAAAAATTCAGATTAATATGAGGGTACATACAATTGGGTTATGTTGTTTGCATTTGTAACGTGAAGTCCAAGTTATAGCTGTGTCCCTCTTGCAGGAAGTGTGCCATATACCTGTTGCCAGACCAAGGAGCCTATCTGCCTATCACCCAACCCAATCAATAGAGAAGTGGATGAGTGTTCAGCAGTTTTACTTTCATTTACAGAAAAGCCAGTGATTCCAGAGAGCAGTGGGGATGTCTCTGCAAAGAACTATTCTGCCTCCTCTTCCCTTTGTTACTTGTATTCTCACAGTAAGAGTAAACATCAACAATGTTATTGCTCATCATATTATAGTTAAACAGAGTCCTCCTCATAGGTTACAAGGTTACAAAATACCTTCCTCTCTTACAGTGGTTATATCTTCAAAGCATTCTAATTATAGTTAGTCAACACTTCACTGGATGCACAGAGTGATGTGGGTGCTTGGCTAGTACTGTGGAGTCCAGTTCCCCAACTTATTTATGACAGTAGCCTTGGAAGTGAATAAGCAATCTCCAGATGTCAGCTCATGGCTCATCCAGCCTTGTTAGGGCCTGACCAGCAGCACCCTGCATGAAATATCTGTTCAGGTTAACAATGGCTGGTAACACACTCACACGTTGTTCCCTCTGGGTAGGAACCCACTGACCTCTCCTCACTTTTTGAATTTGAGTTTTTCTCTCACGTGAGCATGTTTTTGTTAATCTACAAATTTCAAATTAGTATTGAGTACATCTGCAACTTATTTTTCCATTCTTGTGATATTTTACTCAGGAGGAGGTTCTCTAAATCCAACCAGATTGTAACAAAGGATGCAAAATCTCCATCTTTTTAATAGCTGAATAGTATTCCATGGTGTACATATACCACAGTTTATTAATCCAGTTATATGTTGAAGGGCACTTGGGTTGGGTTGGGTAGGGGTGTGTGAGGAGGAGGGAAAAAGGGGGTGGGGTGCTAGGACCACATGGAGAATGGACTTGGTCCTGGCAGCCCTCCCAGGACCTGGAAGCAGACCGGTATGTGTCCCACTGGTCAGTGGGAGAAGTGACTGTCCAGGTCCTGTCCAAGGGAGCTGGGAAGAAGGCAGTACTCACTCACCCCTGCTTTACCTGGGCTATAATCCCTCCTTTTCATTTGCTTGTCATGCTCCTGTGAACCCTATGGAGCCCTGTGTAAAAGCCCCTGTCTAGTCAAGGGAGCTCATCTTTTATGTCCTCTGCAGACAGTAAGTTCCTGGGTTCATCCAGGCTTCCTGTCCAGTCCTTCTGTGGCTTGTCCTTGGCCTCTTGCACTGAGATGCCATGGCCCCCCCTGTTGGTCTCCACTGAGGAGCTTTGCCCAGGGCATGGGAGGACCTGGGGCTCCCTGCTGGACTGTGAGAGCAGGATTTATTTAGCCTTGCTCCTTCCTGATCCTGCTGAGTGTCCAGGGATCACAGCTGGTGCCCCCTCTGCTGTTCCCAGTGCCCAGGTCAGGCCTTCCACGCCCCCCTGTGGGGCCTGTCTCCTCTCCGGGGTAATGGCAGCATGCCCTCCTCTCTGTTTCAAGATGGCATACTTGCCACTGTCTTAGCCCAGGCTGCCACAACAAGATACCATAGCAGGATGGCTTGAACCACAGGTATTTCCTGGTATCAGAAGCTGGGAAGCCCAAGATCACAGTCGGCAGGTTGCTTTCTGGAGAGGACATTGTCTTCTCTGTGTGTCATATGGGCTTGGGGTGGGCCCACTTTAGGACCTTGTCTAACCCTAATCATCTCCCCACTTCTAAATACCATCACATCGGGGGTCAGGACCTCAACAAAGGAGTTTTCAGGGGACATAATTCAGTCCCTGGCACTCACCTCTCAGCTTCTAAGTCCTGGAAGTGCCGAACCAGGGAAGGGGAATGGGGTAGCCTCTTTGGGGAGTTTCTACACCATGGGCAGGATTCTGGTAGGTGTTCACACAGGTTGTTACAGAGATTAGGGGAGGCCCAAGGATCTGAGTTGGACTTCAAGGCAGGGGGCGGTGGCTGGTGTGGGCTGACTTGGGTGCTGATGGCTTGCTCTGCTGGCAGGTATTACCAGGTGACCCTCCTTTTCCTCCTCCTCCTGGCTCTAAATGTCTTCTTGCTGACCTGCTTCCTGAATGTGGACATCAGGCTGTCCACCCTGTAAGTGCTGCCCTGGGCACCTCATGGAGCTATGAGGCAGGGCCAGGAACCAGGGGAGCCTACTCCCAATAGGTGGCCAGGCTGAGTTGGGCCAGGTCAGGGTGGGGTCTGGGAGGCCAGACCTGTGGCCACCCATGCACACCTCTCAGCCCACTGTGCTCCAGGCCAGACTTTAGCCAGGCTGCTGGGAGGGTCTTGAAGTCCTGGGCCAACCTCTGTCCCAGTTGGATCTCCACAGAAGGGAAGGGGCACCAATTTCCCCTGGGCCAAGTTGTAGAGGTCATGTCCCCAGGAGTGTGTCTGTGTCTACCCCCAACTGTCCCAGGGCTGGCACTGGCCTCTGCACCCCATCACCCCATCCTGGTCATGCTTGCTAGCCCTCCCTTGGGGCAGGAGGGTGTCTGCTGCTCCAGGGATGTGGGGGGGTTACACTGTGACAGGGTCATAGTAGGGGCCCCAGAGTCCTCTCAGGCTGTGTGTCAGGACAGCCATTCCCAATTTTGGGGCATCTTCTTTTTACTGGAATGAGGGATCAGCCAGGAAATGCTGCATGCATGCCTGAGGTCATGGGGTCAGGGCCATGCCATGTGCCCCAGCAGCCAGAGAGAAGGTTGGGGCCCCTAGGAGGCTCCAGAGCCTGGGGGTTGAGCCAGGAGCATGTGGTGGAAACAGATGATGCAGCCCCTCTGGGACACCCAATGCCGTCGTCTATCTCAGAGGGCACCCCCAAGCCACAGGGCTGGGGGCACAGTGATGGGGCTTAAGGCACAGGGTTGGGGGCAGCATAGTGATAGGAGGCAATTTGGGTTCCCCATAGTGGCTGCTGAGTTGGGGTCATGATGTTGGGGCACAGGTGCTCCGCCAGTGGGTCCCTGGACCCAGAGTTTTGTATGCAAGTCTGGAGTCCTGCCATCACAGTGTGGCCTAGGGAATGGGTGCTTCCCTGCTGACAGCACCTGTGCCTGCCCCCTGGACTGTTCAGGGGCCAGGCTGAGCAGCCACCGGTCACCAACATCATGTTCCTCAAGATGCACAAGACAGCCAGCAGCACTGTGCTCAACATCCTCTTCCGCTTCACCGAGACCCACAACCTGTCCTCAGCACTGCCCATCAGCCAGAGCTTCCACCTGGGCTACCCCTTGCTCTTCCTGGCATGCTATGTGGAGGGCATGAGTGAGAACAGCCCAGGTCCTGCACGGCATTTCAACATCATGTGCAACCACCTGCAGTTCAACCTGCCTGAGGTAAGGCTGGGCTGGCTGTGGGATAGGGGCTGGGTAGACTGAAAGAGGCTGGTAGTGCACGCAGCCGTGGGACTAGGGGTGCTATAGACTGGAGGCTGCAGGAGAGATCCAGGGAAGGGGCTAGGGAAGCTGCCACCCAGGCTGCCAGACTCCTGCAGTTACTCTTAGATTGAGATGGGCAGCCCTAGGGGTGGTGCCTGTGGCTCAAAGGAGTAGGGCGCTGTTCCCATATGCTGGAGGTTGTGGGTTCAAACCCAGCCCCAGCCAAAAACTGCAAACCCCCCCCCAAAAAACAGAGATGGGCAGCCTCCCCAGCCCCTACCTGAGGGCGTCTTCAATCCTTCACACTCTCTGGCCTCCTCCTGCTTCCAAACACACCCACCCCAACATTTCCTGCCCCAGGACCTCTGCGCTTGCTATCTGTCCACTTGGGAGAGGATGTTCTTCCCAGACCTTCCTCTAGGTCACCTGGGGCTCAGCTTAGGGGTAGTGTTGTCCCAGTGCTTCCTGACCTTCTTTCCAATGGGAAGTGGGGACAGGGAAAAGGTGTGTTTGGATAGGGAACCCTGTACAGGTGTTTCAGGGTGACTCTGCTGCTCCATGGAGAAGGGCCATTAGGGAGATTGGGGCTTGGGAGGGCTTCAGGGAGGCCAAGTGGGGAGAGGTCATGGGAGAGAGCAGTGGGTAACTCAGGTGTGCTGTGGGGAGAGGGCAAGAGGTGTGGGTAGGCAGGGGAGCACAGGGAGGAGGATCAGTGAGGAGGAGCTTGGGAGGAGGCACCCAGGAGGGGAACACAGGAAGGAGGGGTAAGGGAAGAGGGGGGCAAAGAGGAGGGTCAGGGAGGGCTGGTCAGGGAAGAGAGCAAGGAGGAGGGAGGAAGGAGGAACCAACGAGGGAGCTCAGGGAGTAAGGTTCAGGAAGGGGATCTCAGGGGAAAAGGTGTCAAAGAGAAGAGGAGGGGAGCAGGGAGGAGGGGCCAGAGAGAGGGATCAGGGAGGAGGGGGCTAGGAGGTGGGAGGCCACCTGCTGCTCTCTCCCGGGCCTGGCTGAGGTACAGCCGCAGGTGTGAAGGTCAGGGGTTCTGAGAGCAGGTGCGCTGCAGGCTGTGCGCGGGAGTCTGCAACCCAAGTCCCTGGTGTCTGAGCAGGTGCAGAAAGTCATGCCCAAAGACACGTTCTACTTCTCCATTCTCCGCAACCCCGTCTTCCAACTGGAGTAGTCCTTCACCTACCACAAGAGGTATGTGCCGGCCTTTCGCAACGTGGTGAGCCTGGACGCCTTCCTGGCCTCCCCTTGGCGCTACTACAATGCCAGTGCTGGGCTGCGCAACGCCTACGCACACAAGTGGTTTGACTTTGGCTTCGATCACCAAGCACCGGAGGACGAGGGTTATGAGCGTGCGCCCCTGGTTGACGTGGAGCGGTGCTTCCAGCTGGTGCTCATTGCAGAGCACTTTGACGAGTCCATGGTGCTGCTGCGGCTGCGGCTCCACTGGCAGCTGAACGACGTGATCACCTTTAGGCTTAACGCACGCAGCCAGGGCTCCATTACCAGGTTGGCGCCGGAGAGTCAGGAGGGCGCCAAGCGCTAGTGCGCTTTGGACTGGCGCCTCTACCAGCACTTCAACCGCAGCTTCTGTACCCAGCTGCACGCGGAGCTAGGCCCGAGGCAACTGCGCACGGAGGTGGCGCTTCTGCGGGTGCAGCGACAAGAGCTCACCGCCCTGTGCCTGGAGGACGGGGCGCCCAAGAACAAGAGTCAGATCCGCGATCCGAGCCTGCGTCTGTACCAGCCAGGGGCGGCCAACACCCTGGGCTACAACCTCAGGCAAGACCTAGAAAATGCAACGCTGAGCATGTGTCCGCGTACGGTGATGCAAGAGATCCAGTACACTGCCGACCTGTATGCCCTGCAGTTCCCGAAGAAGCCCCCCCAAGAAAACGCAGTTCCTGGAGAAGTAGAGGAGCTGGTGCTGGGGAGGGCAGACACTGGAGCACAGTAACCACAGGGCCTGCTCTAAAGTGAAAAGAATGAGGCACCCAAGGAAGATGCCTGCTTATGACTTGCCTCTCTCCAAGAGAACCCTGAAAGTGGGTAGTAGGCTGCTTGGTCAGGGCTGTACATAACGCTCATAAAGTTGAACATCTCACAAGTAGTAGAGTGAATGACATTTAATCAAGGTTATTAGGCTGCTGAAGTAGCTTAGAAAATTTCACCCCAAAATATGATTCCTTGGTGTAAAGATTATTTTGAATTAAAGGCAATTCATTGTTATGGGGCAAGAAAAGACCACCAGACAATCTTTAAAATGCCAATAAGGGGGCAGCGCCTGTGGCTCAAAGGAGTAGGGCACTGGCCCCGTATGCCAGAGGTAACAGGTTCAAACCCAGCCCTGGCCCCAAACTGCAAAAATAAAAAATTAAAAATAAAATGCCAATAAGGAGGGTGCTGGCTGTGGCTCAGTGAGTAAGGCACTAGCCCCATATACTGAGGGTGGAGGTTTCAAAGCTGGCCCAGGCCAAACTGCAACAAAAAATAGCTGGGCGCTGCAGCAGTCACCTGTAGTCCCAGCTACTCAGGAGGCTGAGGCAAGAGAATCACCTAAGCCCAGGAGTTGGAGGTTGCTGTGGGATGTGATGCTACAGCACTCTACCAAGGGCAATAAAGTGAGACTCTGTCTCTAAAAAAAAAAAAAAAATGCCAATAAGGAACCTTTATTAGATTGGCTGGCCAGATGTCTCCAGGAGTCTCTGAGAGATCAGGGGAGAGCAGCCCCAACCAGGGTTAATGCACAGCTTTTATAGGTTAGATGACGCAGCAAGCAAGTGGCAGGACTCCACCACTAGCACCACCTTTGTGGTCACTTGGTTAAGCAAAATGGTAGCTAGATACAAAAACGTTTTTAACATCAATGGGGTCGGCATGATCTTATCCTGCCTGTGTGTGTACCATGAAATCAGCAAGGCCTTTTCTTGTTTGTCTTTTTTTTTTTTTTTTTTTTTTATAGAGTCTTATTTTGTCACCCTTGGTAGAGTGCCATGGTGTCACATGTGGCTCACAGCAACCTCCAGGTCTTGGGCTTAGGCAATTCTCTTGGCTCAGCCTCCTGAGTACCTGGGACTACAGGCACCCACCACAATGCCCAGCTACTTTTTGTTGCAGTTTGACCCTCAGTATATGGGGCTGGCACCCTACTCACTGAACTATAAGCACCACCCCTTGTGTGTGTTCCTTAAGGCCTCATCCCATGTGTCCCCTGCTCAACCTCCCTTCCCATCCCTGTTTCCTGGGGAACAGGCTTGGGGAGCTGGGCCCTTGGCCCACCAGGCCACTGTCTCATTCTCTACTCCTGATCTTGGGTGACTTCAAATCTTTGGTCAAACTTTTACTTCTTCTTCATTCTTACATATGTCCTAAGAGGAGTAGGATGAGGGTTTCTGCAAGAGTGGATAGGAGATTAGTTAACCAGGGGACCAATTGAATAGGTTTTCAATTTGCTGACTGGGTTCTAGCCTCTTCTCTGTCTTGAATCCTCTCTTATTTTCCCTTTTGAGACTTCAATATATTTTAATTTGGGGTCTCAATATCAACTTGCTTCTGCAGGTGCCGATATTAACTACTTTTCAACACTTAGATTTTAGGGACTGTGACTCCTCTTGAGTTACAGTCCTTAATAGTACAGGACTTAGGTACTACAGGCCTTAATAGTACTGTGGTGATGGGCTAATATACATATGAGTTTTTACTTTTCCATGTGTGATATCACCCCCCTTTCCCAAAGTTCAGTTCAAAGTCCAATTAAGACAAGTCCCTCCAGGAGTTTCCTCAGGCTTCAGCCGTGCATTGACCAGCCATCTTCCAGTATGTGGCTGGAGCAGGGCAGGTTGGTTGTCTTAAAAGTTACCTTTACTTCCCAAGGGGCAGTGAAGCTCTGTTCAGCCAGCTGTGATGACTCCAGGTGAGAATTCTTCTCATCCTTGCTGCTGTGTGTGTGGTCAGGATGATGGTGTAAAGTCCTTTCTACCTTGGTTTTAGGGGGAATGGGTTCTGATTCTGGATCTAGACTTGGTTTCCTTGATTCTCCAGAGAGAAAGAATGTACAGACATAAAAGACTAAACAGAATGTGGTTAATTATTCAAGTGGATATTTTTCTTGCTACTCTTTCTAGAGTTTTTATTTATTTAATTCAGTCTCTGCCAGTTCTTTTAGGAGTGGCTGCTAAATTTCAGAAGATTGATGGAGGCCTCTTAAAACAACACCAGTGACAAAGGCCTGTATTTATTTATTTATTTATTTCTGAGACAGAGCCTCCAGCTATTGCCCTGGGTAGAGTGCCATGGAGTTGCTCACAGCAACCTCCAACTCCTGGGCTTAAGCTATTCTCTTGCCTCAGCCTCCCAAGTAGCTGTGACTACAGGCACCCACCACAATGTCTGGCTATTTTTTGACTGTAGTTGTCATTGTTAGGCAGGCCTGGGCCAGATTCGAACCCTCTAGCTCTGGTGTATATGGCTGGTGCCTTAGCCGCTTGAGCTATAGGCACCAAGCCAAAGGCCTGTATTTAATTAAGATTTGCTTCCTGACAGAGTTTACCAGTTCCTGTTTTATGGCCCTGTTCATGTACTTTACTTTGTCCAAGCTTTGAGGCCTATAAGTCACATATAGTTTCCAGATGATACTCAAAGCTTTAGCTATTGTTTGCATTATTTCTGTTACGAAGGCTAGTTAATTGTCAAATTTAAATCAGAGCAGCAACTTAAACCATGGGATGATTTCTCTGGGCAACACTTAGACACAGCAGATAATATTTACTACTGCACAAATTTTTCTAGTATAGCTAATAGGTGACCTTTGTTGAGTCTTAAGGCTTCAGGGAAAACATAATTACTATGTATAATTCTATGTATTTTTTTGGCATATCCCAAGGGAGTCCAGGAAAGCTGTTTTAGGACTGGATGGACAGCCCAGCACCAATGCTGCCTTGTTAGAAGCTCACTTCCCAGGTACTCTCATGGGACCCTAACTCTGGAGAAGGTAAGTAGGCACTACTCCGGTACCACCAGCTTTTAATGCAGGGCCTCCGAACAGCTGCCAAAAAGCCTACCAATTTGTCCAACATTATGAGGTCACCCAGGGAGCCATGGAAAGCCCTGCAGCTTTTTTTGGAATGGCTGATGGAAGCCTATAGGACTTATGCCCCAATTGACCCAGAGACCCCAGAAAATAGACGGGCTATTAATGTGGCTTTTGTTACTCAGTTGGCTCCTGATATTAGAAATAAATTGCAAAAACTTGAACGTTTTGAGGGTAAAGTTCTTAGTGAGCTGGTAGAAGTAGCCCTGTAGGTTTTTTAACAACTGGGAACCTGTGAACATGGCCGCCACCAAGCAGCTAGTGAGAGTTATAGCTGCCCTACAAGAGCACTCCTGAGTCTGGAGGGCTCCACAAGGCCAGGGCCCTAGACCTCCCTTTCTCTTAAAGCCAGACCAGTGTGCCATTTGCAAAGAACTGGAACACTGGAAAAACGAGTATCCTTGAGAGTAGTCAAAGCCCAGGCACAGACACTGGTGAAAATTTTAATTGAAGAAAATGCTGACTGAGGGGGTCAGGGCTCTTTTCCTTTAGGCCCCCAGGAACCCATGATAACCTTACAAGTTGGGGGCCAACCTGTGAACTTTCTAGTGGATACAGGAGCAACCCTCTCAGTCTTTTTTTTTGCAGTTTTTGGCTGGGGCTGGGTTTGAACTCGCCACCTCTGGCACATGGGGCCGGCGCCCTACTCTTTTGAGCCATAGGCACCGCCCCTTCTCAGTCTTAAAGAAACCCCAAGAGCCCATCACAAAACAGAAGGCAACAATTATAGGTGCCACCGGGGAGGCGCAAACAGTCCCTTGGATTATTGCTCGTATAACAGACTTGGATAGGGGCACCATCACCTATTCCTTCCTGGCCATGCCTGATTGTCCGTACTCCTTGCTGGGGTGAGACCTGTTGCAAAAACTCTAGGCCACTGTTTCTTTCAGACCAACTTGAGCCATCCTGACGGTGCCCGAAAACCCTGCCCATATCCTGTTTTCCATCCCTCTTGGGGATGAATACCTGTTCTTCAAAGGACTTGACAAGATCCCAAGTCAGGAGTAGTGCCTCCATACTTGGCAGTCACAGATCCTGCAGGCGTGGGCTGAAAACAACCCCCTAGGGCTGGCGAACCACCAATGCCAGTGGTAGTGCAGATTTCTAGTGGAGCCACCCCAGTTTGGGTTTGCCAATACCCTCTTTCCTGGGAAGCCAGGGACAGGATTATGGTGCACATCTCCTGGCTCCAGGAAGAAGGCATATTAATTCCTTTCAAGTCGGCTTGGAACACTCCTCTCCTCCCCATTAAGAAACCTGGTACAAATGACTACCGGCCTGTCTAAGACCTAAGGGAGGTAAATGCCTGAATGGACACGATCCACGAACCCTTAAACCTTGCTCAGGCTGATCACCCCCCCCCCCATCTAGGATTTGGTATTCAGTTCTTGATCTAAAAGATGCCTTCTTCACAATCCCCCTCTCTCCAATAAGCCAACCAATTTTTGCCTTTGAATGGGTAGACCCAGAGAGTGGACACACTGGACCTACCTACCACAGGAGTTTAAGAATTCCCCCACCCTGTTCAATGAGGCTCTGAGTAAAGACCTCCTCCTTTTCCAGGATGCCCATTCACACGTTTCCCTTTTGTGATAGGTTGATGACCTCATGTTAGCCACTGAAACTGAGCTAGAGTGTGAAAATGCCACCATTGACCTCCTCTGGGAACTGGGGAGACTGGGATACCATGTCTCTGCCAAAAAGGTGCAGCTGTGTACCACTGAGGCAACCTATTTGGGGTATAAACTACAAGGAGGCTGATGTGCCCTGTCTAAGAGCAGGATCAAGGCCATCCTCTGCATCCCCCACTGACTGCCATAAGGCAAATGTGTGAATTCTTGGGGGCGGTTGGGTACTATGGATTTTGG